ACCCGACAAGAGGAAGAAATTCATTCCTTTTGAGCTGCCTCATCTGAAATACAATCATCATGCTCCCAATATCTTACTTAAGGCTCGAAGAAAAATGAGTCAGTCTTGGCATCATCAATAGAAAGATGATAATGATGGTTAAAGAAACGCAGATTCCTGACGAATGTACTCCAGACCTCGCCTAGTTTAATAGGCAGTAGTGAGGCCTCAGAGACAGGGAATATGATATACTCATCATGAAGATCAAGAGACAAGTATTCAACACTAATATCGAATCCGTCAGTGTTCTATACACTTCACAAACATGGTGTGCCGACAGGATCACTTACAACATTCTGGAGAATACATCAGTAGTTGTCTTATCTCCATACAGAAGACTGAGTGGCCATGAAGAATAAACAATAACCAACTCTGGAAAAGAACCAGTCGACAATCTCTCACTTCACAAATATGCAGAAGTAAATAAGGACGGATTTCATGCAGTTTGACTAGACCGTTAATAACCCAATGGGCAAGACAGATGGTCGATAGGGATCCGAATGCGAAGTGATGATTTGAACGTCTCAGAGTAAGATGGCGGAGATCACCACATAATGAAATGAAAAATAATGAGAATTTATGAAACCAGCTAAAGCAGGCCAAAAATAACTGGGCGTCATGCAGATGTTCTGTTGAAGCCCTTTTTTCCGATCACAAAGAAATTGAATGAGTGATAGCAATAATAATATAATTAATAGAAATGTGATTTAAGTAGAAAATTAGCATCAATATTATGCCATAAGCTGAAAATTCCATCCTTTATCAAATGTACTGTTTGAAATAAAGTGTTTATTATTACTAATGATATTATTCACTATGCAGTTTATCTACCCTTTAAAAATGAGATTAATTTGAGCGTTTCCTCTCACAGGCCAGAAACACAATTGACAAATATGAATAATGATCCCTATTCATATGAAACACACCATAGTTCATTACTCAGGTTCACAAATAAACGCGTAACAGTCTTGGTTTGTCCCAGAAAATGTGTATTCAAAAATTTTGCAGACGGAGACCAAATTAAAAAGTTGTGGGTGTATCTTCATTTGTTCACTCAGTCGGAAACTTATTTTAAAAGGTCATATTGTGAGTCGGTTTCGCCCTACGTGACCCGGAAACCAGAGATTTCATCCTGAAACAGAATAAAGATAAGGTTAGCGGATTTTCGCAGACAACTGTCAACCAATGGAAACACATTTTATATATTTTAATCTGGTGGACTGGGCTACTTGCTATAACTGGTGTTGTTCGCAAGTGTGTTGGACTGGATCAAACGGCAAACTATGGAGTAAGAGAAGACAGGAATACGTTAGACCGGTAAGAAGACTGGAAGATTTGGATTTTGCGGATGATTTCTGTCTAATAACACACAACTTGGAAGACTTACAGGCGAAAATCAACAAACTAGCTGAGGACACAGAACAGACAAGACTCCATGTGAACATAGAGGAAACGGAGGTGATGACGATAACCAAGCAGCCAAAACATCAACAAACATCAATCACCATTAACGGGGGGAATTTAAAAGAAATTATTCTCTTCCCTTATCTAAGAAGCATCGTTTTAACCACAGGTGGAACGTATGAAGATGTCGCAGCCTGAATCTGAAAGGCAGGACAGACAGTTTGGAAATCTTCCTTACCTATTATCAAGACTGGAATTCAGAAATTCAACACCATTGTCAAGTCACTTCCTATATATCAGTCAGAAACTTGGCTCGTCATGAAAAGCATTTTCGATAGACTTCTGTAGACTTTCATCCTGACCTTATCGCAGGTGAAACAGCCAGAAATAATAAGTAACACGAAAGTATGGGGGTAAACAATCAAAAATTCTACTGCTCAACAAATATGCAGAAAAAATTGGAATGGAAAGGAATACGTGCTGAGGAGACCAGTGGGTGATATAATATACAGGGCAGACCCACAAGTGGAACCCGAATATGAAATGATGAGTAGGGCGACATCAAGGAGATTATGGGGGGAGGAGATGAGAGACTATGGGAAGTCATAGTGACAGATAGATCTGATTAAGGAGATTAGGACAAAATGGAGATTTGCTGCTGTTGCTCTATATTCCGCTTGGAACCCAAGGGAATAATATTAATAGTAAACTGGTAATTTATTGTTCATGTAAAATAACCATGTGAATAGTTGTATTTTCTACCGATTCTACCTTTTCGTGTATGCATGCTCTGAGGAGTCCGAAACAAGTGTTCAGTACCTCCAGGTTTTCCAGTGGTTCTCTGACCGATATCAACCCATACTGAAATCTTGAAACTGATCAGTTCCCTGCAAACCAACGCTTGAATTTCATTTTTGTTTGTTGTTATAATGCTTTATAACACCAGAATTTCTTCCCAACTCTTACTTAATATTTGACCTGCCTTCCTTTCTATGTGCATCCTGATTGTAACTTGTTCATTCGGTTATTTATCTTATCATGTAACTACTAAATTACTGCCCAACTCCTCATACGCGTCAGTGGCACAATGGTTAGGTTTCTCGCCGACCATGCACATGGTCCGGGGTTCGACCCCCTGCCGGCGCACACCCGATATCTATGGTCGGCCTGCAAAATTTGGGCTACCGATATCCATGCTGAAAATTCCATACCTGTACCTAAAAATACGGTGTGGCATCAAGCTGTTATCAAAAAAATAATAATAATAGTGTTAACTACCGAAATCACGACTTCTCGTCACTTCGTGGTTATCGTCTTTTTTGGAAAATTCTCTATGAGTGTAATTAACCAGTTAGAGAGGAAGATGAATTAACTACAAACAAACTCTTCGGCGAACTACTAGTTTATTTTCTTTATACGCTATCGATACTATTGTTATTATATTGGTAATGTTCCACTTTTAGGGCAGTGATATATGCGGTTTATTATTGATAAAACGTATGGTTTCTACCTTAGCTACTCAAGAGTAAGCACGAGCTTGTTTGTAAATATTTTTTACAAAAATATGTATTGTAATATACTGCATTATTCCCTTTCTAAAGGCATGAAGATTTCCAATTTCCAATGAAATCTACAGCTACTTTGAGGATGGATAGAAACCTTCGCGTCTTTTATTGTCTAATTGAGGTCTTCGATGAAAATTCGTTTATCTAAATTACTTTCGACGCTGAAACAATCAAGTGGCAGCCTTATTATTAAGCTTCTTAATTTTACTATTTCTTTTCATTCTTTATGTACCCTGTAGAACATAGAGCTTCAGTTTACAAGCATTGAAGTTTAACAAGCCTATAGGCCTTCACTTTCTTCCCATTTGATCACTTCCATATAACATTATACTAACGCTCAACTCGTCATATTCAATTTGGGATTCACTCAACAAGCTGGCAAATAATGTCACTCCACAGTCCTCTCAGTGTGTGTCAGTCCATCTACACTTTCTTCTGCATACACTTTGAGTGACAGTTTCTTTCTGGATACGCAGTCAAAGTCTCATGTTATTTATTCTTGCTTAGCTCTCAAATTCTAACCTCCTTAACATAAGTAATTATCGGGTGTTTGTGACATTCGAATAAATTAAGAGAATATTTCTATTGTTATCATATTCTATTCATTACTGTTTGTGGTGTTCTACTGCCTCAGGTAGTTGAGGAGAAGCAGATTATGAAGTAATAATAACGAAAGATTTCAGTTAAGTTATTTATCAAAGCAACCAAACGATTTTATTTATAAAATAATTTTAAGTTTTCATAGCATTCCTCTGATTTGATAATTAATAATCAAGTTATAATCTTGACCTGTTGTATTAATCCTACCATATCAATATCATAACAATTACTCGCATTCAACGCGACAGAAGTATGCTCACAACTTCAATATAAGTAAGCCTGTTGCCAGCTAAAAATGCACCGCGAAATATCATCACGACTGTGTCACTCGGTGGCCCATCTTGCCCGTTTGCACACGCTTACCAGGTTGTTGTTTCACAGGATTCAGTCATTTCTACAATTTGCCATTAATTTAGTCATTCGAAAATTAATGTTCCTGCAGAAGACATTAAATACAATGTGATACTTAAAAAATCTCGTCAGAAGTAGCTGCCTCAGTTAGGTCAGTGTCACTGATAGAAAGTTGCATCTGAATTAATCGTAAATACAAAGTTACAATGAGTCATTATTAAGGGTAGCTGAAAATTTCTACCCTATTTATTGCTTGAGCATATACTAAAAGGCCTACGCCTCGGGGGAGCAAACGCTTACAATAGTGATATTGCCAGACATTTTATCAATACAGTTCGTGTGGTGGACATAGCGAAATACTGTAAAATTATGAAACGACAAATTATTTTAATCCTCCTCAAATTTGCTAAAGTAATCGCTATCAAGCTCCTGAAACCCGAATTAAATATTCAGAAAGAAGCAGTTACCATTGTCTACTTGCCCTGGTAACTGAATATCTTTATTCTCTCTTTCATGTCATTACGTAAGCACTGGCTTCAACCTCACCTCTCCTTGCCACATAGTGTAACCTTGTCTCCATGAATCCCATTGAACTCACTATATTATTACTCCCTTTATTAGTTTCTCATCGTCTTGCTCAGTTCTTGTCTTTATTACTTTACGTCTTTATCACTGTGTGCAAATACTTTTTTTCGAGCATGAGCTCTCCAAGTAGAAGCTAAAATAGTGTCATTTTCTGAGCATTGCTTATTAAGTTCCCCGTCTCCTGTCAACTGATTGGTGATTGGATCCCACAATTTGTTAATCTGTGATAGATCCAGAGAAACATACCAATGGCTTTACTGAAAAATTAAATTCAGGAAAAACTTGAATATATATATAGGTTGACATTCAAATATTATTATTATATCAGCTAATTGTACATCAGGACTAATTAAGGCGTTTTAGAAATCTGGTTGGTTGTTTACCGATGTGATAGACTGATGCAGAGATACGTAGTCAATAATTACAAATAAACATGTATAAATATATATATATTAGATGAATAAAATTAAAAAATTCTTTGGTTTTGAACAGAATAATATTCCTACAATGATGATACTGATGACGATGATTATGATTGCGATTCTGATATTGATACTTTCGCCATTCAATCACTGCGGGTAGTTTCATCATTGTTACAAATGCAAAATTTTGTCATATAGTGGGAATAACAGTCATTTGTTAAAAGAGAATATACAAAAAAGGCAGTCGAAAACAATTAGCGATTCAAAATATTACAAACGTGTAGGTCGAATCGATCGATGTTGAAGACAAATGTTTTAGGTAATTGTATTCACTCTGATACTTGTCGTGATTACTACGATTATTATATTAGTTGGTAGTTTCTTGTAAGTTTTACAACTTGCTTTCAAAGTGAAAATTTTAAGCTTCAGTGTTCATTTCAAGTTGGAAAGAAAAGATTCAATCTTGTACGCAGGAATTCTCGGGTATGATCGTTTTCAAATATATATATATATAATATGAGCATGTTGCTTTGGAATCGTTACTGTCATTTGGTGCATTTCAGGATCCACTGAAATCTAACGACAAATACAATGCTATCATTCCTTTCTCATGGATCTCAACACCATAAGGCAGAAATAATGTTCTCGAAAATCATATCCATTGAATATGCATTCAGTTTTATATCAGTGCACAAATTAACTGATTAACGAATTTCTAATTCTTCTCCTCCCACTCGTATACAGTAAAGTGATGACTAACTAACATTTTGCAAGAAGCACCAGAAATATTTGAATAACTAAATGAGATCAGCTTGATACCAAGAGTCGGAGTGACTGATGTCTAAACTGCAGATTCAAACTGGTAATTGGTAAACCCCTCAAGGAATGAAGCAGTTTGCCTAGCCAGATCGATGTCAGCTCATCATCCATTGCTTATTCCACTTGTTTGTGTCAGAGTTCATGTGTAGTTTACTCAGGTTGATCAGCTAGACAGCATCTATATTTCAGCCGACTAGTTTACAACCATTCATGTCAATGATAAGCATATATATATTGCGAAACACTTTACCACGTTCGTGTATTTCAAGGTTGTGTTTCATGTCCTTAGAGATACTGTTTGTGTATAAATTAGTTTGAATAAAGCAATAATAATTACAAAATACCGACTTCAATTTTGTTCACTTTAACTTTCAATTTTCATTGAATCCAGCTTTTTAGCCATTATAGTTGTCTTCGTCCTTCTGTTTGTCGATGCAACACAGTACATACCTTTCGTTGGATTTATTTTCCTGTGTTTATATGTAAGTTTTATCAATACATGCTTATGGTGAGTAGTATAATTCATTCTTTAGCTTTTTACATCTTTAACTGCACAGTAGCAACAAGTAGACATTACACTTCCTCATACAACAACAAAAAGCATAATGATGGCGATGATAATAAGCGTAGTAACAGTAAGAGCAACATAGGATTACTGTACCACTGAACAGTAATAATGACTGACTTCAAAGTGAGGTTATAATGATACAAAGTGCGAAATTCTCGTATCTACTGTGCTCATTTTGTGAACTGTCATGAGGCAGCTTCTTTTGGTAGATGTGATGTGAATAGAAGTAGTGAAGGGTGGTAGACTGGGATGAATCGGTTAATTATTCGATGCTTTCTTGTTTTTCAATATCCTGGTTTCATTCACTTGCATTCGAAACACAGACACGCTACACTGACCATTAAGTATTCGTTGTTCTGCCACACTACAAGTGATGAAATAAATTCATCCAGCTGTATGTACGAATGCATGTGTATGAGTACGTGAAAGCATGCTTCCAACCTACTAGATGTAATTAAATAAAAATTCTCCAAATTTTCTAAACTGTTCACCTAATTAACTCATTGAGCGAATAAAGATGAAGATTCCTCACTCAGTCCATTTGACATAGCCCTGTTTCTCTAGTGATGGTGAGTATTCAAAGTGAGAAGAACTCAATCATCATCATGCTGGGTAACTGTCATTCCACTGACAAACTTGAACATGTCAAACAACTTCTCAGCGGTTCCGACATCAGATTTCACAGAACTCAGCTATTTCGGTAAAGCTCTCGATGCAGATTATTTCGCGTCAAGACGAATTTGCCATGAGAAGCGTACCTCCAGCTTTTGCTTGGCAGCCACAAGGAAACGAATAACACCACACTGAACTTAGGGAAATATTAGAGAGTACGTTTAAGGAAGCCCCAAGCGAAGAGAAGCTGAATAGTTTGATTTAATAAAATCAACTCTATAATACAATAATAGGCAGGTAGACAAACGGATTTTAAAATACTTTCAAAAAGTGAATTGAGCACAATAGACGTGCATGCACATGAAGTTGACGACTCATCAGGGAACAATCAATAAATCCATTACAGAAATACAGAGGCTGTATCGTTAAGATAAATATCTTAGTGGAAATATCTATGACTGCAGCAGTAGATACGGGGTTTACTGTTCATTATTGCAAGCCATCACACTGCATATACTTCATGGAGAAACATATTTTGGCCACAAAGTCTCTTGTAAAATATGTTCGTGAATGACATTACTGAATAAAAATAAGTTCGATTATAAAGTATATTCTCATGCAGTCAGTAATATTCGTCATAAATTTTGTTGTTTCTATTACACTCACAGGCGATATTTTTAGCTCTGGTTTTATACGTAATGACGAAAAATGTGAGTCCAATACTCATCGTGATTGTGTGGAGTATTTGCCTTCTCATATGTACGCTGGGATTGTTTTTCGGTTATAAAATCATGACAGACTTGACAAAAACTTTAGACGCTTATTCTGGATTCTTCCTGATGGTGTTCTTTGCAGGAATAATTCTTGCTGGAATTTATTTCATAAGAGATGTAGAATCTGTAAGTAACTCCCATTTTTATATATATTAGAAATCATATTGTTGTTAAAAAATAAATATGTGAAAATTTTAACCAAACCTTAGTTTGGTAAAATCCGAACAACTCAAACAGTAAAGTGAATGATGAACATCATTGCACTGAAATATCGAAGATGGCAAAGATGTTATGCAGCTTTGTTTCCTGAATCTCACGGAAATTCATTTAATCTATTGTTACGTAATGATGAACACTTTGTTGAATTTCACTATTCACTTGGTAACGTGTTTCGTGGATTCACTTATAACTGCCATGAAATAAAATTAATGCAATTCAAATATGAAAAATCGGAGAGATTAGCTTTGTTACTGGTCATGAAATGCAGCTCCATTTTTTTACACACAGAGAAATGAACAGACAGATGTATTCGTAGTAGTGGAAATACTAGTGGTTGGATTACAGGTACTGTTCAAGGAGCATTGAGGCTAAAGAAGGGAAATAGTTTTCTGACCTGACCAACCAACAATAACACGATCACCACCACCATGCATTATATCCATACATATATATATATATAAATAAAGCATAACCCCCATATTAATAACCCATTCTTTGTTTCATTGTTAATACGTTAAAACGCAGTTAATTCAATTCCATTGCAATCTGGAATTACTTGATAATTTTTACTACAATTAATCCTAAGATTTTATATTTCATATAAACAGAATATTATTGTTGACATGATTAATTATTTTCATGAAAGGTTGCTCATAGTATATCACATTTGTGTCATCCTTTGACTAGTCACCACGACTGTTTTATTATTAGTATTTATTCATTAAAATTTCTAGAACCCTATTTAATTGAGTTTGGCCCAATTACGTCTCAGTGTAAAGAACATAGTTCAACTACATGTGTTTATCTGGCATGCATGAAAAACGACTTCACCTTTTATTTAATCTCTCTACCTCTCTCACCGCATCCATGAGTATTCTCTTTCCTCTTTTGAATTCTAGGAAGGATACTTCATCATGGGAATTGCATTCCTCATACTCCTGCTTTCAGTGAGTTGAAAATTCTTTGCATATTTTCTTTGCATACCGAAAGTGTTGGAAAACAGAATATGTGAATACATTAAAGACTGTTTGTGTATTTCCATGATTTTTATTCGGAAAACAGGCTGTCAAGGAACTTAACCCTAAGTTGCTATTCTATGAAGACTTAAGCGATTGAACCGATAAATACTATGTAATTCCTTCAACTTTAAATCCAAAACACCAGTATTCCTTGAACGAAATTGTATTGTTTGGCAATTAAAGCGAAGACAACTACAAAGTCTGCAAACAAATGTTAAGTACAAATGAAGTTATAAAGTACTTTTATTCGTATTTAACTCCAGTCTTCCTTCAACTTGCAAGCGATCGACCATTCGCGCCTTTCAGTTGCCCGCCAATGGTTGCCAGTTCCAATAAAACAAACGTTCAATGTTCACGTCCATTGACACAGGCATTACTGGTTGACATGAGCAGCTTCTGTGTACTCACGTCTATCAGAACAGAAGTATTGTGATTATTCTGCATTACCGGTTATGGCATCATTAGGCAGATCACAAGTAAAAAAACTTGAATAATTTCTGTCTCCATTAGTACAAAATACGTCCTGAGTCAAATGGAATACTTCAAACTAGTTAAAAATACCTCCCCACGGTGTAACACTGAATTCATTCAAATAAAACAATAATCGTAAAAGAGTGCTATATCGTCAAAAGTCAACCATAACGCAATAGTAGGAATCATTCACAAACGGTTGTCGTTTTAAAAAAAGGAATTATTTGAAAGAATGTATTTACTTGTTGGAAAGTTGATGATACACAAGTTGGAGAGAAAAAGGATAATAAGTAAACAATCAATTGAGATACTTGAATGAGCATTACTGTTGTAAATCGATTGTTCAAAGGCGAATGTTTTGCACCATCTATCAGACTACAACACATATTGTTGATCCAACTGAGTAATACTGGTTGGTGGTAACATTAAGTTGTTTTGATTCATTGAAAGTCGGTAAGTCAAAGGCTTAGGTTCTTTCCACACTCGTCCCAAAGGGTTTCAATTTCTGACAGGAAGAAGAAGCTTTTTTTCACCTTTTTTTATTATGCAAAAACAAAACATATCCCTGTGTTTTTGTAGTCCACAGAAGAAATTTATTTGGTATTAGTGACGTCAGTAACCGATTTTTAATTTGTTTTTTAATTATATAGTTGACGGTTATTATTGGACAGATAGTTTTCAAACGAGGTTATCTGAACCTTCGTTACAAGTGGCCAATGAGTGTGTTATTATTGATCACACTAATTGACATCATGTATGCAATGACATTATCAGAATACCAATTATTGCGGATATTAAGAGGAGAATTATTACCTCCAAGGCGTCATGATGACAAGTATAAAACATGAATGATGATTACATAAATATATGAATATTAAAGTAATTCTGACTGTTATGTTATGTCCACATATTTTGTACGTTTGTTTGTACGGTTTTGAATGGATTTCAGTGTAGATTTTCATGATGAAAAATCACTAGTTGCAGAATGATCGAAAAGTATGGTGCACTATAAACTAGATTCGTTCTAGTTTTGAATTTCTTAGTTGTACTTATCTGCTACCCTCACCACATATCAAGCCTACCAACGTCATGTTATGAAATGGTCAGGTTGAACATTGAAGAAGTAGACTGGAGTTGAGTGCCCAATGAGCGAATGACGTACGGACTGTCACGGGGACGTGAATTAGCTTCCATCAAGTTTCAGGGGAATTCTCATCTCTGTATCATAAAAATACCAAATCAAATCTTATTCACTGTTAAGAGTGAAAAAAGCGAAAATTCCATGCAGAATTCAGATCTAGGTGTTAACTGTTGAACCGATAAGTATTAAGACAAACTATGTAACTACTGCCAATATCAATTCATGATAGACTTGGATATTTGAGATTTACGGTAAGGTCCGTTGATATTTAGTGACTCAACATTCTTATGATTAATTAGAAATGATGTTTCTTATCGGCTTTCATTTTGAACTCGACCATTCAGAATAGGTGAGCCACAATTATCTTGTCAAGACTGATGATACTTCACAGTTTGGAACGAAAGGATAGTCGATCTCGTGATCCGTTATCTAAGAATTGACGGCTTAGTCCATTAGGTTATCTAAAACAAAACAGTTTTACAGTAAACTAGGAGATAAGCTGATGACGTGAAGGCAGTTAGACAACACCTCTGGTCTACAGTTGTCTCGTTCCACTTTACCATTCTCAGTAGTTCACACACAACCAATTCACCAGAAGTGGAAACCGAGACCTTCATTTTCCTGGTACAAGAAGTGACACTTCAGTTACTCAGATCATATCGAATGACGCGTGATTTTCAACCTCTGTCGGTTTGTGATCTACCCTTAATACCAGTCAGTGCTATCCGTGAGTATCTGTCTTCACGCTCGTCTAGAAGTCAGTCATTAGTCAACAGTTATCCACAGTCATGATTCGCAAATTAGGATTGGTGAATTGAATCAATATTAGATATATATAAGTAAGGAATCAACTTTAGACAACTTTTGTTCAACATTCTAAAATTATTTATGAGCAGTGTATATGCACAGTAGTACACTCCGATAAATTTCAGATGTTAAATAAATCTATTTGAAAAACAGCAATGTGTGAATAATGATGAATTGACTTGTGTGGTCCAAAATGTCTGCAGCTCTGTTTATGAAATAATATGAGGTGTTCAGTTATGAAAATGAACTACATAAACAAACGATTTAGGTGGCAATGAAATGAACGATATTCCCAATAGTAGGAGACAAATTTATGGACAATTGAGAACCTTAAGCTCTTATGATGTTTAATCCCGCTTCTAGGTTATGGTGGAGACATGTAGATGACACACTCCATCACTGTGTTGAAATTTGAACATATTGCTGATGTTTTCACAGATACAAACTCATTATTAGACGGAATCTTAAGAGAGTGAAAACGGAGAGGGTGACTGAGACACGCTGTACTTTAAAACATGATAAAAATAAGATGGTGGCTTATATTCTAGCATTCATAGGAAATCGTTGCACTCTAATGCCTTTTTAGACTTTAATTCATTCCATCCAGAATCGGTAAAGATAAGTTAAATGTCTGTATAAACGTACTAAGAACCTAAATAGCAATTCAGAAGATTGAAATAATGAAATCAAATAAATGAAGGAAATATCACAAGTGAATAACTACCCACGAGAATTTATTCAAAGGTCCATCAAGAACTACTGAAACATATAAACAGTAGTGAAAATGACAAAAATAATCAAGAATTCAAAGCATACGTAGTGTAACAACAGAAGACAAGGGCCAGGCAACAGATCGTTGATTAAAGGAAAATCAACACATATTTATCGATTTTAATGTACATTATTGTTAGTAGAAAATACAGTCTTTTGATTGGTTGCTCCTCACAGAAAGTGAACCTTGCATCTCTTTGTGGCTGTGTCAGATCATCCGTATGCTAACTGTATCCGCCTACGCAAAGCCTTTGTTCTCATTTTCTCACCACCAACATTGGGGACATAAACACTGAAGTCAGTTACTGTCTACCAACTTTGGCTAGGAGCCACCACAGTAGTACTGGTGTATAAAGAGGGGACATAAGGAGCCTTATGTGGGGTTCTTAATGATAGTGTAATTAAGGTGGCGTTAAAACCAACCAACCGACTCACTCAGAGATAAATCTCGTCAACTTAAGGACCCGCTAAGAAAAATTATTCAATTCACCATATACCATGTAATGACTGAGGTCAGTTACATAGGTCAGACAAGTAGATGCGGGTGGGTTAGTTTATTGGAACATAGGAATTTATGTAGACCTGCAATAATTAACCACACAAAGTCAAATAACCTAGTAAAGAGATCAGCCATTGTATTGCTTTCAGTTACATATTATCACAAAATATGGTGGAACAGGATGGAAGCATCAAGAAGTAATGTAGTTAGGTGGAGAAAGATTAATAACGGAACCTTTGTTTATTGATTAAACAGCACTTACGGGCAGTCGAAATCACGGAACGCCTACGCGGGAGATTTGGAAAGTAACAAAGGGAGGAGGGAGAAACAGAGAGAAGAAGAATAGGTACAAGGCTATTTATGAGCGATGATGTATGCTCAAAATGTCATCCACAGTGTTACATTTGGAAAAAACTTATCTGATACATAATTACATTCTACCACAGAGCCCAAGTTCTAAACTTGTATCATATGTCACAGCTCATTATTGAAATGAATAATATATTTTTCGCAACTGATAGGAAGGAAGCTCACCAACAGTTGGGTAGAGTGTAGTATATAGTGGAATAGCCTGAATAAAATATCTGTACTTCTTTACATATCATAAAAGTGTCTGTTGATGGAAGTGCAGGTAAGAAAAAATAAGTTTGCTAAAACGCAGAAGAAAAAAAATGAAGTCTGTGCTGATGGCATAAGATTAGAACTAGTGAAAAGCTAAAGAAATACACCTACAGACTGCAAAGTATATGAGGTGCATTCAAGGCCGAATCAGAGAATCAAGACAGACATTCATTAGCCAGCAAGTAGTATGTGAAAATAATTAAGAACATGCAACATCAAAGTCACGTCAGTCAGTGCTTCTGTTTGCTTCACAGAATTGACTGAAGCGTCACCGAAAGCATTTCCAGCAGTCTGGTGTGGATGATTTTCAACAGCTGACTACGTCCAATACAGAAACTTTTACGGCAAGCCAGGAAATATAAGCAACCAGGAACACTTCCAGTGTGGTGAACCAACCAAGAATCTATGACACTTCAAGGAAATGAAGGTTGGCAGGAAAGTCTCTGAGAATAAAGTCGAGTGGCATTGCAAGTCAGGCCAAAACTCTACTGGAAACTAGATAGAGAGTGACAAGTTGGCCTCTGATACGAGCATGACTTCAAAGCAACTATGTGGGGAGATGACAGCACTTGACTGATCGTGGAGTTGGCTTGACAGAAGAGCAAAGAACAAGACGAAGTGGAGATGTGCTGCTGGAACAGCATGTTCCATTTTAACTCAAAGAAATAATCATTAATTTTAATTTTTTTAAAATTTGATTACAGCTTGATGCCATACCGTATTTTCAGTACAAGTATGGAATTTTCAGCTTGGATATCGGTAGTCCAAATTTTACAGGCCGACCACAGACATCGGGTGTGCGTCGGCAGGGGATTGAACCTAGGACCATGTGCATGGTCGGCGAGAGTCCTAACCACTGTGCCACCGAGCACAGTATACCAGTACTTTAGCCATTCTCTGTTTTCATGAAAGATTTTGTCTATGCTCGAAGGCTGATCATGCTATTTTTGCATGAAGGTAAAGTTGTTTATCAATTGTACGACGTGTACTATTCACAGTGAACTTTAGACTGTTTACATGAAGATATTTTAAATCATGCTAATTGTTCTAGATAAATATTTGTGTAATGTTAATAGTGTAAAACAATAAGCAATAAAGAAAATAGCAATTGCATAACCTGTTCAGCTGATGCAGGTTGCGAAAATAAACAGAAATTCACTGGTGTTAGTAAGAATCAGAAATAGTTCGTATATTCTAAAATGTTTTTCACTAGATTTCAATCCAAAGTACACTGATGCAAAACTTTAAACTGTTCAGTTTTTCAACGAATATTTTGTTTATTTTAGCTGTTTTCGTCTACGAAACTAAAAGTAGATATTTTCTTTGTCAAAACAAATAATTATCATTAATTGTTATTGTTATGTTTATAAACAATTGAAAGAAGTTAGAATTTATGAAGTATTTTATTGCATTAGTTGAATAGTTAGTCAAGCTCCCTTCTTCATAACCCTAACATCTCACATACTAACTGAATTAGGTGTCGAACCAGCTGTCTAGTATGCTAGAGGTCCTCAGCCGTTATCTAACTGATGAAATCTATTACTTTCAACATATTCGAAACTTAAAAGCCAATCCATTAGGTCAAATTAACTTTCATGGAAACAAAGTTAATCTTCTTTTCGTTACTGATGTCTATTATAAGTCCACAGATCACTGTGCAACAACATGCAGTCCGAAACAGTAGATGCTGACGGATGAAGCTGAGGAGTTTGAAACTGAGAGAGACAGAGAGAGGAGGAAATGAACATTCCAGGTTCTAATTATCTTTATGTGATGTTCCAACTGGAACATAGAGCCTGAGAAGCACATATGTTATCCATCTGATATAACTGCATGATCACGCAAGTGCTCTCGTCTCCTTCACGTCATTCTCTAATCATCGTTTCCTATTCAGACTTCACTGGAGTTTCAGTCTGACATTCGATTTTCTTCAACCGTCTTCTCAGCATCTGTCCTACCCTCCTTCATTTCATTGGGAATATTTGTTGGGTCATAGGTTATTGTTTGAA